AGCCATAGACTTGCGTGACGGTCACACGCAGCTCCTTCACCACAAACTCAGCATAGCGAGCCGCTAGACATACTGCTTGTAACTCAAGGCGGGCTAACGTGGGTGGAGACACGGGTACCACTTTGGCCTTGGCAAATACCAAGTGCGACTGTCCATTGACGACTGCATACAAACAACATCCAAACGCTTTCTCACTGGCATCGGCGAAGGCATGAAGCGCAATCGGCGTGTCAAGATTGCAGCAAATCCAACGTGGTATGTCAATGCTCACCACTTCGGCCAACTCTCCCCACCATTGCGCGCATGCGGCTGCGATGCCATCAGGCAATTTATCATCCCAGTCGCCTCCGACTTTCCAGGCTTGCTGTAGCAGTATCTTTCCGGGCACAACTGCCGGTGCTGCTAGACCTAGCGGATCAAACACTGACGCAACACACTTGAGGAGGGATCGCCGGGTCCAAACAGACGGCCTATCGGACTCGCCTAGCGCTGCTATGCTGAGCAAGTCATCACTGGTTTTCCATTTCAGACCGAGAACTTTATCTCCGGCCTCTGGATCGCACGGGATTTCGTTGCCTCGCCACTTGCGTAACTCCATGCCAGCATCCGTAAGCACACGCACGCTGAACTCTTGCATCTCCTTAGCTTCCGAGGCATTTGAGACACTAGAGACCAAATCGTCAACGTAGAAACTCGTGAGCAAGAGATCAATACGATCTCGCTCTTTGGGTGCAGACAACGCCCGTAGCTCCTTCAAGTGATGCTGAATCACCGCAGTAAGCATGTATGGCGAGCAGTTTACGCCAAATGGCAGTTCCGTTAGCCTCCAGGTTAACAGTTCATCGCTGTCGCTTCGACTGGGCCACAAGAAACGCAGGTACGGACGGTCTTCGGGATTAACCGCGACCATGAAGAAAGCCTTGCGGATGTCCGCTTGCAGCGCGCTCTTATATTCACGGAACCGTAATAGCATACCTGCGAGACTCGGCAATAGCGACGGTCCAGGGTCAACCATGTCGTTCAACGACTTGCCATCTGGCGCCGTCGCCGAGGCATTGAACACCACTCTTAACTTCGTGGTTGCAGCGTGCTCGCGGAACACACCATGATGCGGTACATAGTACCCGGCATCGCTCTCACATGGCTCCAGCTCAATTGCTCCAAGCTCGCGGTACTCCCTGATCAGCACATCATCATAGAGCGCACGCTTCCCATTCCTCTTCAGCTTTTCAAGAAGCCGCGTTGCGATGACTCTAGCTTGAGCAAAGTTATCCGTTGGCCGACGCTCATTTCGCCACAAGAGACCCACTTGGTACCCGCTGCCCTGGCGACATAGCGGGAAAGATGGCAGGTGCTGATGTTGTTCTGGAGGTTCATCCAACTGCCATAGTTTGTCGATGTGGGCTGTGACACATGACACGGTCACCGGCTGACTGTTTCGACTTGGTGCAGACGCTGGACCAGATAATACATTACCTATCTCTGTGTTCCACACCGTCTCACCATTAACTTCCTTCTTGCTGTGCAGTACCGCGTTGATATAGTCTGCACCAATCAGCATATGTATTTCGTCTGATGTCCCTTGTTGAGGCTTGTCACTCAGCTCTACTCCCCAACTGTGCCACTGCGCAATGGTCTGCGGACTCGCGCACTTCAGGTCCAGCTCAAGCGTTGGTTTCACGAACGCGCGTACCCGAATGCTAGCGGAGCTACCCTGGATCGTGATGGCGTACTTATCCATGCGCTGTTGGGTTGGTTCCGCGCCGAACGGCTTCACCTCTACATTTTCAACCCCAACGTGTTCTGCATCGATTGCTGACACCAACGCTGCAGTCACGAATGACGCCTCAGCACCCGAGTCCAGGAACACGCGAACCTTCGCGTTTCGAGTTCTTCCCTCAACTCGTGCCACTCCGGTCATCAGCCGCACACTTGGCGAGTGTAGACAGCACGACCCAACATTCTTCTCCGTAACTATCTCAGTCGGTTTCTCCCGGCTGTAACCTGCTCTATCCAACACATCATGTATTAGCAGGTGGTGTTTCCTCTGGCATTTCGTGCATCTCGAGCCAGACCGACATTCTCTGGCCATATGGCCATACTTAAGGCAGTTCCAGCAGAGTCTCTCTCGCTGCAGAAAACCCTTTCTCCCTTCCTGTGGCAGCGACTTTAGCTGCTTCTCTGCATCTGCGACCGATATCGCCATGCACTGTGCCGACGCCGTGGGCCTTGGCACGGATCGTTCTACTGGCTTCCTGGCAGTATCACCCTGTCGTCCGTGCGCGACCTGGTAAGACGCGCCGTGCTCCTGTACCTGGCGCAGTGACATCCCGTAGCACTGCCGTTCGACCAGGTACGTCTTCATCTCAGGTCCGCATTGCTCCAAGATTACCTGCTTTGCCATTGCTTGCAGCACCGGGGACATTTTTCCTATATCGGCGCTATACTTGGTGTCCACCTCGCCATCTTCTGTCATAGCGAGTGTGGCCCACACCTCTACCTCTCGGCAAACACGGACAACGTATTGATGAAACGACTCATCTGACCGCTGCTTGCCTGTCAGCAATGTCTTCCACGCTTTATCCGGAGTCTTTCCGAGCGAGGCAAGCAACTCTCGTTTTGCTTCCTCGTAATTATTGCATCCAATACATATCCTCTCCGCTTTGCTACCCGCTAGCGCGATGCGCAGTCGCAGCAGCCATTCGCTTTCTTCGAACTCGTTCTTGGAACAGATGTCCTCGAACAGGTCAAGATAACGCTCCAATGGCTGCGTTCCATCATATGAGGGGATTTTCATCACCGGTTGACGCCCACCGCTGTGACTGGGAGATTCCTCTGTACCTCCCATCGTGGCTTTACCCTCACCCTCCTGCGCATTGGCGATGCGCTCGTTAATCTCCTTTAGTGTTTTGGCAAACTCGGTGCGGAGCGCCTCCTCTCGCCGTCTGGCACTGCGCTCCTCACGCTCCGCGTACTGTTGGAGCCTCTGCTCCACATGTACCTTCAACAACTCGCCTTCTAATCCTAACCGCTCTCCATTGTCGATAAAGCTGGCTTCCAAATTGTTCCATAGTTCCTCTGCCATGCTCGCTCGTATCCTGGCGTGGTCGCCAAATGTTGTGAACCCTGCAAGATTCTCTAAATTGTCAGGATCGTACGACCACACGGCACGAGGACAACTCTTTTCCTTTACACAGTATATTTCACTTCATCTGATAATTAACAATGAACACTAATAACACCAGCTATTTATAGCATGCAAAAACAGCGTACATGCAAAACATAAGCAGATAAAACTGGACATAACAGCGTATACAGCAAAACGCACACAACGCATATAGCGTATGCCATGCAGCAACATCAGCGGTACGGCGGAGTCGAAATACAACATTTCAACGAATACAATGCCATAAGCGCGAAGGCCTTTCCCAATTGAGAACTGGTGGTTTACAACAGCCTACCTCTATCATTCCCCACCCATTTCACCCAAAGAACATCCAAAAGTTCAAGACAGCAGCTTATCACCATCTCCTCAGAACGAACTGGAACTGGGCCACTCATAGCATACGCGAGTAAGAGGGTGCAGTGTCCTACCCTGCTTGGACATACATGTAATCTCTCCTCACGGACAGTCTCCTCTTGAATTTAAAAGTCTAACAGCGTTCACATCAATATTCAACTTATTCTTTTGCTCACTGAGCAATACAATCTTTCCATTTTCTTTCTTCTGTTTTCTTTTTCAATTTAATCCTCCCCACCCAATATCCCGTTGGTGCGTCCATGGAGCTATGAAGCCGAGACCTCTGGTCGGCGGAGCTTAATGGGCCCCACCACCACACTCCATCATTCACCCCAGTGTCTGGAGATATGTGGATTTTGTAGAGAAAAAAAAATATATTAAAATTATTATCTCCACGTAGATTATTTGAATATTTATTATAATTTATTAACTGGTTCGAGGGAAAGAGACAAACGAGAAAAGTCTGAAGAAAAAATTGACTGTCACCACCAGGACTCGAACCATTATTATTAATAATATTTTGTCTATACACCGACGTGAAGCCTCTGGCAAACTCCAAATCCAAACAAGTAACGTAGTTGCGTGATGTCTGCGGCCTTCATCCTATTCATAGCTATAATAATATTATTAAAATTATTATCTCCACGTTGATTATTTGAATATTATTATTATTTATAATATTATTATTTGTCTAGTGATAAATAATTTTGGGGGCGTCAGACACGCTAGGGTCACTACGGTATTGACCGTACCACTATTGGCTGCAGGTACCCCACGAATCAATGGAACGCCCTGATATGGGGCTCTAAAATTTCAAAATGTTCAGCAGAAACCCCCCTCCCTTCGCCTCGAGCATACCTCAGATGGCTGACCGTACCACCCTGAAATGCCTTCCGACGCCCCAGAATAGGGCTTGAAAGTGATGACGTCAAAACGGCCAGGGAGTAGTAAGTTGACATCAGATTTCTATTTTTGGATCCACTAAGGTGTGACTTTGCTATTGCCTAAGTATGTGGGTGCATAGCAACCCACTCATGTCGCATGCAGGTGTGACTTTTATTTCGCCACCAGTTGTAACCCCGCCCCAGTAGCCAAATCAGTCAGTTTCACTGGCTACATCACCATGCTGTGGGTAAGACCGCTTGAAATGATTATGTGCTTGGATCCATACAAAAACTGGATCCAAGTGGATCCATTTTTTGAATTTTTGAAATTGTTGCTATGCTGTGACGTAGCACTTTCAAGCCGTAAGATGAGTCGTCTTGTTCACTGCACTAGAATGTGGTGGGAAGGAATGAATGACTCATGCACTGCCGGTCGCTAGCGCTAGTCTGCACGCCTTCGGCGAAAATAATAATATTTAAATTATTTATTTTAGCTGACAAGTGATTGGTTATGACTCGACTGTGATTTCTGCTATAATTATGTAGATAATGAACACACGCTCGATACTCGAATCCTTTGTCTTTGAGGACTGACGATGGCGGAGGATCACAAATTACCAGCGTCTCTCCTAAAGGCGCAGACACGATTGCGTGATGCGGTCAAGGATCGTGGTGTGCAGATCAGCGGAGGTTTAGGAACAGATGGGGAAATATCTTTGAGCGAGCTCTTTGTCAATCTTACTCTGCTGACAAAGGATGAAGTAGAAACGCTTTTCAAGGGCGAGTCGTTCTTTTCCTCCGAATCTGAGAGAGCACGCCAGCTAGATGCTATCAGAGCAGCTCAGGATGGAAAGTCCGCAAAGACACGTGGCATTGAGCTTAGCGAGATCTTCTCTGACACAGGAAGCGATAGTGCAAAGGGCCAAACAGGCGGCAGCGGAGTAATTGATTCCGAATGTGGACTTCTGTCTCGTGCAGCTAGCAACGTGTCCATTGGAGTGAAAAAGAATAACGTGCTTGCGTTTGGCAGTGCGGGCAGTGGCAAATCTACAATCTTCCTTCTCATGCTGGAATACCTGTGGGCTATAGATTCGCTGTTGAAGGAGAAGATTGATCTTGTCTTGGCCGTTGAGTTACGACGTGCTGAGGTGCGATCTGCAACTAGCCTGTGTGAGTTGCTGGCTGCTCGATTCGACAGGTTGGACATGGAACAAGATGAGCTGGAGGAGATAGCTCGCTACTTTCGCCGTCATCCGTCACGTCTCTGTGTTGTGCTTGACGGCATGGACGAATGCAGCCTGGAGAAATGTAGCCCGTATATGCAAGACATGCTGTTGAGGGAACGCAGTGTTGATATGCATGTGGTGGTCACATCTCGACCATGCGCCGATGCTTACAAGTTAAGCCAATGTGGAAAGTACCATCAACAACTGGAGGTTATCGGATTCTCACAAGAGAACGTGAAGACGTACGTGAGAAAAGTGGTGGGCGGAAAACAAGCGGAGGAGATGCTGGAGAAGCTGCATGCACAGCCGGACATGCTAGCATTGATGGGAACTCCATTATTTGCTGCTCTGGCATGTGAGCTGTACCACAGCGGACGTGGCTTGGCGAAATCGAGCACAGCATTGTACGAGTCGCTACTTCTACGTGTCTTGGAGCGGAATGCAGGCAAATTGCACAAGTCGTTTGCCGAGGCGGATGCACGGGAGATTGAGTTGCTGTACGAGATCTCCCGCTTTGCACTTGCAATGTTGTCGGTGCAAAAGGCCGTGTTCAGCGAGTCGGACGTGAAAAGCGCTGGTCTAAGTGATGCCGCTGTTCAGCTTGGACTCCTGATTGCTTACAAAGACAGCAGCTCGACTGAGAACCGACAGTACCGCTTCGCTCACCTGTCCCTACAGGAGTTCATGTCGGCATGGTATCTGTCACGCGAAGTGCTGAAGGACGAGCATGACGCGGCATGGCTGGTGAAGAGAGTCGGTCATTACGGTGGTCACATGTCAATGTTCTGGCGCTTCGTCATTACACTATTACCGCGCAAGCCCTCGTTCGTCGTCATGGAGCATCTCTGGCGGCTAATCTGTGAGGAGCGTATATCGTCGACATCGGACACCGCCGACTCTCGTCTTGTGGCTGACATTGTCAGCTACTTCCATCGCAAGTCTGCACGTCCGGGTCTTGAAAGGATGCAGTCCATGCTTTGCGCAACGCTAACGTATGAGAAAATGCAAGAACTGGCCTACAAGCTGCTGGAGGAGACGTGCGGTGAGGGCAACGGCTGCCAACGTGTCGAGAGCGCTTTGCCACGGGGGAGAGAGTTGACAGACGAACTATTTCTGTCAACTCTCATCGATGTGTGGAAGAAGGAGGCAGTGGATCCCAACACGGAAGTATTCCTCACTGCTGTGCGCAGCGTCAATCCCGTCGCCGCATTACAATGCGAGCATATGATGCGTCCGAGCACCAAGACACCGGACCCGTCATCCACCGAGGACGCTACTGCTACTGCTATGCCTGCAGTTCGTCCAGCGAAGTCGACCGAGGAACGGCGCTATCTGGTTCATCTTCTGGTGGCTCATCATGAACACTGCCAGTATCAAGGTGTGTCCTGTAATGGTCATTGTTCATTCTTTTCACAAGTGTTTCACAAAGGCATTAGCTTCTCCCGTGTAAGCCTATCTCTTTTTGATTGTGTATCTATTGGGCACTTTCTCAGCACACATTATTGCTTTGATAGCAGTACCATTGATTTCTCTGGCTCTGGCTTTGGGAATGCTGGTCTGCGACGCGTTGCTGCTGGTCTGTCGCAATGCAAGGGTGTACGCACGCTTAATCTTGTCTTGAATGCATGTGACGATGGCAGTATACTGTCGTCCATCATTCAGTCTTTGTCAGGCAGTCTAGTGGATGTCAGTGTGTATGGTAATCGTGTAGATAGTGATGGTGTTGTATCAGTGTGTAAAGCATTGTCTACTTGTTCTAAGCTGAGTGGAGCCGATGTGACCTACCATGGTATAGGTATAGGTGCAGGTGGTGTTGTCCCTCTGTCATGTGTTAGTGAAGTTGTTGAGTCATGCCCTAACCTGTGTAAGCTGATTGCATGGGACTGTGTTTTCCAGTATGATGATGATTGTTTGGAAAGGTTTGTCAGAGCTGTTCAGTATCATGCTGTGTTGCGTACACTATGGGTTTCACGCGATATTCGTGAGCATGCCATTTTGCGGTCCCGGCTTGAGCAGCTTGTCCGTGACCCTACCTGTACCCTGTCTTCAATCTCTGCTTGGTGATGACTGTGTTTGTAGTATGTGTACATTATGTGAGTGTGTAGATGATTAGTTTCCTGATTTGTCTCTTGAGCACAGACCAGCAGCAGCAGCAGCAAAGCCTAGACCAGTTCTTTTTTTCTACCTATCTAATGTACATAGAGAAGCCACTACTGTCGTCATACTTGAATTTTCATTTTTCTATTGATTGAAATAATTTCCATGTCTATACCCCACTCTCGTAGTACAACCACTGTAGAGAATACATTGTATTTTTTCTTAGTAGCTCTGCTTATAACAATCTCTTTTCCCCCGAGTGTGTGCTTTTTCTTGAGTATTTTTGCTGTTCATGAACTCGTATCAGGCTGACTAATCACGGCCAAGTTATAATTTTATAATGTACAAATGTAATATCAACCCCAGGTCGAATCTCCTGACGATCAAATGTGCTGAGCCTGTCTTTGATATTGTTTGATACCGGACTGTGTGTTTGTGCGTGCGCGCGTGCGCATGCGTGTGTCTGTGTGTGTGTGTGTGCGTGCGCGCGGGCGCGCGTACGTGAGTGGCCAGGAAAAGCCACTTCAATCAGCTGTGTGGTGTAGACCAGGCGAAAATCCGTGGCGGTCAATTCGTCAGCCATGCGAGCTGTAGAATGCTGTAGTCCCAGCACAAGTTGCTATCTCTAACATAGCTGCTTCCGCGATGGGCAGGTCGGAGGTGAGGTGTGGTGTGTGTGTGTGTACATGAGCGAGCGTGTCTGTTGGGATCAGGTGGAGTGTGTGTGTTTGTGTGCGCGTGTGTGTGTGTGCGTGTATATTGTGTGTCCCATATGGTGCAGTGGTATGTGCAGCGATTTCCAATCGAGAGGTTGCGGGTTTAATTCCCGACGATTATGGTCACACACGTCTTTCTTCTCTTTCTCAGACTCCTCCTGACTTTTCTTTCATTCTCCTGGGTGGTTACCAACAGCCAGTGTATGCCAGAGTCTGTGGTGTGATGTGTGTGCGGCAAAAAAATGAATAAAGACCACAAGTAGGGATTCACTGGCCAGAACAAATCTGTGTGGTGTAGACCAGGCTGAATAGTGGTGGTCAATTCTTCAGCCTTGCCAGCTATTGAATGATGCAATCCCAGAACAAGCTGCTATGGCTTCTGCTGTATGGGCGTCAAATGGTGCGTGTGTGTGTGTGTGGTGTGCGTGTGTGTGTGTGTGTGTGTGTGTGTGGTGTGCGTGTGTGTGTGTGTGTGTGTGTGTGTGTGTGTGTGTGTGTGTGGCAGCTAGTTCGGTTGGCGGGAACGCTTATGCCTGCTTGTGTTGGGTCTGTTGTCAACGGGCTCGGTTGCTTGAAGGAGTAATGTTGTACCTGCCACCTTTGTTGGTTTCAGGGTTCATAAACTCTCTTTCTTTGAAGTATACATACCTGTTAACCATGGACTACTTCTGGCTAGATTAACTCTTGTGGAATCATGGGGCTAGTGAAGCTTGTATCAGATCCACTCTGATATAGCCACCCACACTAGCAGGAAGTATTACCTTCACTCGGGGCAGGGGTAAAATGCAGTTGGATCCCTGGACGGATACCCTGATGCAGTCAATCCTTTTTCTGCACCTTGTCCTCCCCCACTTACTGAGGTGTGGTGAGCCCATACGTTGGATCATTTCCAAGTCCACCCAGAGTTTGGGAATTAACCAGTTTGGGCAGGGAGCAAGTACAAGTATAAGTGTGTGTGTGTGTGTTTGTCTGTGTGTGTGTTTGTCTGTGTGTGTGTGTGTGTGTGTGTGTGTGTGTTTGTCTGTGTGTGTGTGTGTTTGTGTGTGTGTGTGTGTTTGTGTGTGTGTATGTGTGTGTGTGTGTGTGTGTGTGTGTGTGTGTGTGTGTGTGTGTGTGTGTGTGTGTGTGTGTGTGTGTGTGTGTGTGTGTGTGTGTCCCATATGTGTCCCATATGGTGCAGTGGTATGTGCAGCGATTTCCAATCGATAGATTGCGGGTTCGATTCCCGACGATTATGGTCACACACGTCTTTCTTCTCTTTCTCATACTCTTCCTGACTTTTCTTTCATTCTCCTGGGTGGTTACCAACAGCCAGTGCATGCCGGAGTATGTGGTGTGATGTGTGTGTGGGAAAAAAAAGAAAGAAAAAAAAGAAAAAAATGAAAAAGACCAAAAAAGGGATTCACTGGCCAGAAAATGTCACTCCAAATAGCTGTATGGTGTAGACCAGGCTGAATAGTGACGGTCAATTCTTCAGCCTTGCAAGCTGTTGAATGGTGTAATCCCAGCACAAGTTGCTATGGCTTCTGCCGTAGCATTGCTATCATCGCCTCCGGCGATGGGCGTCAAAGGTCAAAGGTCAAAGGTGTGTGTGTGTGTGTGTGTGTGTGTGTGTGTGTGTGTGTGTGTGTGTGTGTGTGTGTGTATGTGTGCATCAGCCTTTCAAGCTGTTGAATGGTGTAATCCCAGCACAAGTTGCTATGTCTAACATAGCTGTTCGCTATCATCGCTTCCGCGATGGGCATGTCTGAGGTGTGTGTGTGTGTGTGTGTGTGTGTGTGTATGTGTGCCAGCTAGTTCGGTTGGTAGGTACACTAGGTACACTTATGCCTGATTGCGTTGGGTCTGTTGCCAACAGGCTCGGCTGCTTGAAGGTGTAATGTTGTACCTGCCACCTTTCCAGTCGAGGGGTGCCGCAAGGATCCGTCCTCGGCCCCCTCCTGTTCACACTATACATCCGTAACCTTCGATGCTGCTTGCCCCAGCAGGTCACAAACCAGGAATTTGCAGACGACATTGCAATTGAAGCCTCGGGCAGTTGCGAACAAGTGTGCTCTTCTCTAAGCACAGCCATCACTGGCCTGTCGCAGTGGTTGGAGGACCGCGGGCTAATGCTGAACCAAAAGAAAACGCAAGCTCTGTTGATTACCCCAAGAGGCCCAGCCCCTGACACAGATAACATTCGAATTCGCTGTGGGAATGCAGCCCTTGCAGTTGTGGAACAAGCGCGGTACCTGGGCGTAATGGTAGATGGGCAGCTCTCCTGGGAGCCTCACGTCAATCACACAATCCAGCAGGTGCGGAAGTCAGTAGGTGCGCTGTGGCGGAGCCGCCGAAGCCTCACCCTGGCGTCAAAGATCCTGTTTTACAGGTCGATGATCCAGGGTAGGTTGTCGTACGCTTCCAACGCCTTTTATCCGTCACTTCAAATTGGCAACATGGAGCCCCTCACACGTCTAACGAAGTGCGCTATCCGCGGCTTCTTCGGTCTGCCACCGTGGTCGCGCACGAGCCCGATCTTTGAACAGCTCCGCCTCACCACCCTGGAGGACATGTTTACCATTAAGCTCCTCATCTTTGTCCGTCGTTGTCTGTTCTCCCGAGCTAGCTCCCTCTTCACCAGCTTCTTCGTGAGAGTTACTGGTGACCGCACTCGGGGAGCAGCACATCACCTCGTTCGAGTACCATTTTGGCCCGGTCCTGCGGGTCGAGCGACCATGCAGTTCATCGGCGCAGTCCTGTGGAACCAGCTCCCGCCTGATCTCCGTTCCGAGCCCAGCCACCTTCAGTTCTGTGCCCTGCTAAAAGCGCATCATGGCTCCGTTTAAATGCTTTTCGGCTAGTGTGTTTCTGTGGTATAGCGGACTGAAGAATAGTAAACGTGTTTTGCAATATATGTATGAAGCTATTTTGTATATAGTATGTTCCCATTCCGTTTTAGCTTTGGTGTAGCCCTGAGGTTGATTGCTTATTTATTTCTACCCTCCTCTCTCCATACTTCTGTCCCCCCCCCCTCTCTCTCATTCCTTCTGTCGTCCACATGTATCAAAGGAGGCGAAATCGCCTGTTTGTGGTGCGACGTTAAATAAACTTCTACAACAACAACAACAACCTTTGTTGGTTTCATGGTTCATACCCTTTCTATTTGAGAATACATACCTGTTAACCATGGAAAACCTCTGGCTAGATTAACTCTTGTGTAATCAATGGTGCTAGTGAAGCTTATATCAGATCCACTCTGATTTAGCCACCCACACTAATACTAAGTATTACTTCCACTGGGGGGGGGGGGGGGAGAGCAGGGGCAACTGCAGTTGGATCACGGGACGGATACCCTGATGCCGTCAATCCTCAATTTTTCTGCACCTTGTCCTCACCCTCATACTGAGGTGTGATGAACCCATAAGTGGGATCATTTCCAAGTCCACCCATAGTTTTGGATTTCAGGGGGTGCCGGACGTTGGGCCATACAATAGCGAGTCATCTTTCCAAGATTCCTTTTTGAGTCTTCTTCCCCTCTCCCTGGGAGACCCACGTGACTAGTTTTGGCAGTGAGCAAGTAAGTGTGTGTGTGTGTGTGTGTGTGTGTGTGTGTGTGTGTATGTGTGTGTGTCAGTGTGTGTCAGTGTGTGTGTGTGTGTGTGTGTGTGTGTGTGTGTGGTGGGGACGTGTGTGTGTGTGTGTGTGTGTGTTTGTGTGTGTGTGTGTGTGTGTGTGTGTGTGTATGTGTGTGTGTGTGTGTGTGTGTGTGTGTGTGTGTGTGTGTGTGTGTGTGGTCCCATATGGTGCAGTGGTATGTGCAGCGATTTCCAATCGATAGATTGCGGGTTCGATTCCCGACGTTTATGGTCACACACGGCTTTCTTCTCTTCTCAGACTCTTCCTGACTTTCCTTTCATTCTCCTGGGTGGTTACCAACAGCCAGTGCATGCCGGAGTATGTGGTGTGATGTGTGTGCGGGAAAAAAATTGAAAAGACCAAAAATAGGGATTCACTGGCCAGAGAAAGTCACTTCAAAATAGCTGTATGGTGTAGACCAGGCTGAGTAGTGACGGTCAATTCTTCAGCCTTGCAAGCTGTTGAATGGTGCAATCCCAGCACAAGTTGCTATGGCTTCTGCCGTAGCATTGCTATCATCGCCTCCGGCGATGGGCGTCAAAGGTCAAGGTCAAGGTGTGTGGTGGGGAGGTGCGTGTGTGTGTGTTTGGGGTGTGTGTGTGTGCGTGTGTGTGTGGTGGGGACGTGTGTGTG